TTATAATTATACAAATACAAGTCTTCCTAATATGTCCTCTTTTGTCTTTCTCTCTTTCTCGTTTTATATAAACACAAATTGTACAAATTACAATGTATAATTTCTGTTGTTTAAAGCGAGAGAGAGAGATTTGATATAGAAATGTTTTTATTTCGATTTAATTGTATACAAATTCAAATTTTATGCATAATGCAAACACAATCATTAATACATATGCATAGTTATTATATATATACAATTATTTAACCGATATGCGTATACAATTGTTGTGCTTTAATACAAACGAGAGGTCTGCTAGCGACTTATACAAATTTGATGCTCCATAGAGCAAATTATGCAAACTATAACTTTAACATACAAATATTATTTTTATGTTTGCTAAACCTGAAATTTACTCAATATTTTTTAACCAGCTAACTAAAAAAATGCTAAAATTTCGAATAAACAAAGGGTTACAAATTTAAACTAATCTAACTTGAAGTACTTGATATGCCAGAGTTATGTGAACCGGAGGAAAAGAAATTTTTGAGAGAGATGCATATAATTAGAGGGCAAATAGCTCTATCACGGGGTTTTGTTTATATTGGAAATGTTGAGAATATTACCCTACACAAAAAAGAAACAAAACAAATAAATTGTGACCCTTAGGATCATTTAAACATACGATATGAAATCAGATTGATATAAAAGTTAAAATTTTATTTGAACATTAAATTTAGATTCTTATATCGTCTTTACTGGAATAGCAAACCATAAGTTGGACGATAATTATCACTAATTGCAGTAAAATTAGAAAAGCTAAGGTACCGATATCAATTATGGTGCAGGGGTGGGACTGCTCCATCTTTAACCAAATGTCTCGGCGACTATCCTTTGGTTTTGAGAAAATTATGTTGAAAGTGTCACCCATGAGTGGATCCTACAATGAGTGATCCAGATTTAATCAGGACTCTAATAATAGCTCCAACACTAAGTGGAAAATAAAAAAAAAATATAAGTGTCAAATGGGCACATTGGATTGAAATTAGGGAAATTTTTCAAAATATCAATATTTTAGCATTTAAGAGGACTCATTAGCAACAACTTCAATATTTAGTAAAAA